CCAGGGGCCTGGTTCTGGTCCTCTGAGGTCCTAACTGCTCCCAGCTCCTAACTCAGGCCCCAGCTGTCCTGGCTCCCTCCCTCCTGCCACACTCCATATCCTTGACCCCCTCCTCTGCTTGGAGGACTCTGAAGTGGCCCAGCCCTTACCTTGGATAGCGCCACGTACGGGAAGCCGTCCATGGCCAGGGGCGTCTCAGGCCCCAGTTTGCCATTCTTCTGCCCCTTTAGGATCCTAGCGGCTGTCACCGTGGGCACCCCCATCCCTGAAGGGGCAGAAATGTGTGAGTCCTGGGCCCCAGGGCTGGCCTGGAATCACCAAAGGTCCTAGGTGCTGGGGCTGTGAGGGCTGCGGGGCTGGACAAGCCTTGGTCACTCACCATCACCCAGGAAGAGGATGAGGTTCTTGGCGACCTTCTGGATGGGCTGCAGCTTCTTGGCGGCATCCAGGGCCTCAGCTGCATGGCGGTTCCAGAAGGCTGGGTTCTCCTCCTCAACTGGCCAGGGGGAGAGTAGAGATCAGGTCAGCCTGGTGAGGGGGTGCCCTGTGTGCGGAACAGCTTGGGGAGCCTCATTACCTGGGATGATGCCCAGGGAGAGCTGTAGCCTCAGGCCCAGCAGCAGCAGCACCCAGGGCCCCTGCATGTCTTCGGTGCAGCAGGAGGGAGGCGAAGTGGGGACACTAGGACCCGCTGCAGTGCAGGCTGCCTGGGTTTAAATCAGGGTAGGACTTTGTCCCTGGCTATAAATGCTCCACGTCCCTCCCCACACCCCTTGTGTCCATCTTGACCCCACCCAATCCTGTGACCAGAAGCCAAGCTTGCTGAAGGGAAGGGACCGTGTGTGGCTCATAGTGTCTTGTGGGAGATCCGTTGCCACTCCTTTGTTCATCTCATTCAAGGTGTGAAGAGAGGTGAGACTGGAAACACACAGCCTAGGCCAGGGCCCAGGTTAGGGCTCATCATACCACGAGCCCCAGAGGAGTGTGAAAGGAGGCGTGTGGCGTGGCCTGGCTGCCCTAGAACCCACTTGGTGTGTGTGGGTGCCCACACCTATGTCCTGAGGACACAGGCTGGGGAGGGGCCAGTGCCCTGGGTTGGCCAGGCCTGGGCTGGGTCTTCCACAGCAGCTTGTACACTTAAGGTTGACCCCTGTTTTCTTGCACAGGTAGATTGAGCCTGGGGTGAGTCTGTTTTCCATGAGCCGTGGGCACACCCAGAAGTGTAGCCTCTGATAAGGAGCTCAGAGAGTTTGGTGACCTCAGGCTGAGTTCAAAAGTATTGCTCCAGTCCAGACATCCCACTCTGAGTGTGTAGTCAAAGGAATGCAAACCAGGGACTCGAACAGATACTGCACACCCATGTTCCCAGCAGCATTATCCACAGCAGCCAAGAGCTGGAAGCAACCAAGTGTCCAGCAACAGAGGAATGGAGAAACCAAACAGGGTGCACACATACAATGGAGTATCATGCAGCCTTGAAAAGGAAGGCGACCCTGACACCTGCTACAACGTGGATGAACCTTAGGACATTATGCTTAGTGAAATGCACAGTGCAAAAGGACCAATATGCATGAACACACTTCTCTGAGGTCCCTAGGGGAGTCAAATTCATAGAGACAGAAGTGGAATGGAGGTTGCCTGAGGCGGAGGGAGGAGGCAATGGGTTAGGGTTAGGGCTCGTGTTAGGGTTGGGGTTAGGGTTACAGTTGGAGTTTAAAGGGGACAGAGCTTCAAGGTTGCAGGATGAGAATGTTCTGGAGATCAGCTGCACAACACTGTGCGTGTACTCAACACTGCTGCCCTGTACCCTTGAAAATGGTGAAGGAGGTAAATTTGATGTACCATGTTATGTAGCCCAATTCAAAAATTGGTTCGAGAAGAAAAGGCTCCTCCAGCTCCACCCACCCCAGCCCAACCACAGCAGCCCCTTCTCCACTCAGGCCTGTTCAAACCCCAGGCTTGGCCCTCAGAACCCAGGGGACCTCACCTGCTGCCCAGCCTCTGCCTGCCCTGCCCCACTCCACACCACGCCCAGGGCCTCCCCTCATGCCGAGCTTTCCTGGGTCCTCCTGCCTGCATCCTGCCTGGCTTCCCGCTGGTCATCCTGGGGCTCTCAGGGAAGATGTCACCCTCATGGGCCCTTCCTGCCTCCTGCTTGTTGCCCCCTTAGTTCCCTCTACCTCTTGCTTCATCTTGCTGAGTGAGGAACATTCTTAGCTAAAGGTCAGAGGAGACTCACTAATGGGCAGGCAATTAATTCATTGATTCACTCCAAAGTCAAGATGAGTCAGGGGGCTTTATAGCCACCCTGAGTTTCATGTTTAAGTTGGAGTTTTTGACAGAACTATAGATTCACAAGTAGTTGTAAGAAATAATACAAGCCGGGCACAGTGGCTCACGTCTGTAATCCCAGCACTTTGAGAGGCTGAGGTGGACAGCTCTTGAGGTCAGGAGATTGAGACCATCCTGGCTAACACAGTGAAACCCCATCTCTACTAAAAATACAAAAAATTAGCCAGGCGTGGTGGCATGCACCTGTAGTCCCAGTTACTTGGGAGACTGAGGCAGGAGAATCGCTTGAACCTGGGAGGGGAAGGTTGCCGTGAGCCAAGATCGTGCCACTGCACTCCAGCCTGGGTGGCAGAGTGAGACTCTGTCTCAAAAACAAAACAAAACAAAAAAAACCAGACAATAATACAAGAGGCCCGACATAGTGGCTCATCTCTGTAATCCTAGCACTTTGGGAGGCTGAGACGGGAGGATCACTTGAGCTCAGGAGTTTGAGACCAGCCTGGGCAACATGGAAAAATCTCATCTCTACAAAAAATACAAAAATTAGCAGAGCGAAAAGGGTGTGCTCCTGTGGTCCCTCCACAGGAAGTAAATAGCTTTTGGGTCTGAGCTGAAATTCTCTCTCCACCTACTTGGGAAGCTGAGGTAGGAGAATCACTTGAGCCCGGGAGGTGGAGGTTGCAGAGAGTCAAGACCATATCACTGCACTCTAGCCTGGGTGACAGAACAAGACCCTGTCTCAAAAAAAAAAAAAAAAAAAAAAAGAAAAAGAAATAGTACAAGAGATGTCTGTGTGCTTTGCTTAGTCTCCCCCAATGGCATAATCCACAGTGATTATTCAGATTTCCCCAGTGTTCCCTGTATTCATGTGCATGTGTGTGGAAATTTGTAGACAATTTTATCACCTAAGTAGGTTTGTGTAACTGCACCATAGTTGAAATGCTGAAGAGCTCCAACCCCACAGAGTCCCTTTTATAACCAGGCTACCTCTTTCCTCCACCTCTTCTCCTGTCCCTAATCCTTGACAACCAGATATGTGTCTAAGCTGGGTGACAGAGTGAGACAACATCTCAAAAAAAGAAAAAGAAAAAAATAAGAAATGCTTTATGGACTTTGCATAGTTTCCCTACCTTTGCCTAGTTTCACTGCCACCCTAACTTTGCCATCTCCCCTTTAACAAGACAAAGCATGCTTTAGACTCAAAGCACCTAAGGAGGCTGTAAGGACATTGCTTTTGGTGTGTGTGGAATACACAGTGGCTTCTGTTTATGGTAAGAGATGGTGGTCCCCCATTTTTCAGTTACAAGTTTTCTTTTCTAATAGATTTAAGGAAAATCTGAGCTTATGTAGAGAAAAATATTCAGTAAGTAATACCACAGGCAGTAATGTGGCTATGGCAAAAAGTTGTCAAGGTGATAGGTGACTAGCTGAGCGCTAAGCAGCATGGATTTAAAAGAAATAAATTAAATAGCCTTTGGGTCTGAGCTGAAATTCTCTCTCCACCACTTACTGAGTGTCCTTCAAAACGGAACCTCTCCAAGCCTTAATTCCCTCATCTACGAACAAGAAGAATGATAGTCCTGTCAACCTCAAGAAACAGAGAGGCTCCCCAAAACTGTGGAGTTTAATTGGGAACAAGCAGCAGCACTGCATGTGGAGCCCCAGCCTTAGTAAACTAGGGGCGCATCAGAGGGGAGGCAAGGAGGGCTTTGAAAGACCAAAGGAGCAGTACATGCTCGGTTTTTGGTTTTTGTCTTTTTTGTCTTTTTTTTTTTTTTTTTTTTTTTTGGAGTTGCTCTGTTGCCCAGGCTGAGTGCAGTGGCGCGGTCTTGGCTCACTGCAACCTCTGCCTCCCAGGTTCAAGCAATTCTCCTGCCTCAGCCTCCTGAGTAGCTGGGATTACAGGCACTTGCCACCACATCTGCCTACACAGTTGTTTTGAGAGGAAGAGAACACTGATTCCAGGGGCTTATCCCAGGAATGGACGTCAGTTTATGAGTGGACACAGCGTATCAGGCAAGTGTTCTTGTGCATCTGGCTAGCCGTCCTTGTGACTCACGTAGCGAGCTGCAAAGTCCTGGCAAAAAAAGAAAAAAAAAAAGGTCTTGTTCAGGCGTCTGCGCCTCAGAGCCCTTCCCAGAGGCTTCGGAAGGGCACTGATCACAGGCAGGTGTGCGGGAGGGGCCTCCTTCACAACCTCCCGGCCACATTATTCTGTTGTTGCTCTTACAGTTGGACAAAAGTGGCTTCATTTTGATTCTGACAACTTTCACAGAGCCGGGGGCTCAGGGCTGTTGTGGGGACTTAATTAGTGTAGGGTCTGCTGCAGAGTTAGCAGGGGGAGCAGGGGGGAAGAGGTGAACCCTGACCTTCATGAACACGAGGTAAGTCCCGAACACCCTTGAAACCTGTTTCCGATCTGAGGGTGTGCATACCACACAGTGGGCCAAATGGTAGCGGAAGCAGTTCCTTCCTAGAGCACAAATCTCTTAAATTCCTAATTAAGGGCTGTGTAGGCAGGACCTCCCTCTGTCCCATCCCACCTACCAGGGAGGGACATCCAGGCATCCCTCACACACAGAAGAACTTGGGTCAGGTACCTGGGATGGGAACAAGAAGGGACTGTCCCACCCCCAAGGCAGGAGACACCCCAACCTCCTCCCCACGGGCTTCCTGGGGAGGCCTCTCAACAGGCCATGGAGCCTCCCTCAGCAGTACAAGCAGGGCACTGGGGCCTCAGCCTGCGGGAAGCTGCAGGCACAGGAGCAGGTTCAGTGAAGGGGGCGTTTAGCCAGGTACCCTGAGCCCTGATCTGGCCACCCCCTTCACTGCCCCCCCAGCAGTAGTGACATTGGCAGGGATGGCTGGCAGGTGAGCCCTAGTACATGGTTGTCCCCTGAGAGTGAGGGACAAAAGACAATTCTGCCCTGAAAGGTGCTTTGGGCATCTATATGGATGTGTGGAAAGGAAAGTTTATGAAGTCAAGGATGCGGCAATTGTGTTTAGTGGTTTAACTTTGATCTTATATGACAGGAACCAGGAGGACAATTGTATTCCAATAGCACTCTGGTGAGTTGAAAACCTGTTAAGTTGAATACACTATTGGAGAGTTTTTGTTCCATCTTCTATTTTGCACTTCAATTTGTTGCTTTTAAATATCTGGCTAAGTGCTTTCCAGAACTGAGCAATGTACTATCGATAAACATTAAGAACACAACACAGCTTAAGAACGAGGTTGAGCAAAACTGTTTTTTAAGTAAAATAAATTAAATGGATCAGTTTCCCCCTCAAATGATTTTCCATCTGTTAAAAAACAAATCAGCTGGGCGTGGTGGTTCATACCTATAATCCTAACACTTTGGGAGGCTGAGACGGGAAGATCGCTTGAGCCCAGGAGCTTGAGACAAGCCTGGCAACATAGTAAGACCCCATCACTACAAAACATTTTTAAAACTAGCTGGATATGGTGGCACTCGCTTGTATTCCCACCTAGTTGGGAGGCTGAAGTGGGAGCATTTCTTGAGCCAGGGAGGTGCAGACCTCAGTGAGCCCTGATCACCCCACAGCACTCCAGCCTCTGCACTCCAGCCTGGTCAACAGAGGGAGACCCTGTCTCAAAAAAACAAACAAACAAACAAAAAACCAGAAACAACAAAAATAATCAAAATTTCCCCCAAACCATAAAACCTCACAATTAGAGAGAAGGTTCAAAGAGATGATCTTACAATAAGGTTTTAAATCCGGAACCTAATCTCAGGCATGTGGAAACTGATACTTATTCCAAGAATCATCCCCTTCTCCAGAACCTTCTTTAATGTGAAAGGCACCACATCCTGTAGCCTCCACCAGGGCTCAAATATTTAATTCATTCACCCCCCCCAACTCCCATCCTGACCGCCATCAGCCCCTGAATTCTGTGATTCCAACCCAGGAACCACTCTTTGGTCTGTGCTCAGCAAGGACTGGGGCAGGCTCACGTGCAGAGCTGGCCACAGCCAGGCCAGCGGCACCATCTGTGCTGTAGAACTCCCTGGAGAAAGCCCATCCCCACCTGTGACTTTCGCAGCCTGTCCCCGCGAGGCCTCTCTGGACGCCTGCACTGTCCCCTCAGTCCTTCCTCCTGGCACCTGGACCATCACAGCCCCTCCTGCCTGGCCTCCCACTTCCTGACTCGTGGTGGCGCTGCTGGGTGGTGGAGTCACTGCAGTGGCCTCTGGTGCTGCCTCTGCACAGGCCTTGCCTCCTCTGGCGCCCCCTTCCCAAGCTTCATGCCCATCCCCTCCCTTCTGCGGCCTGACATCCTCCTTAGGGGCCCGGAGGCCGCCACCCCAGGCTGCCTGATCCCAGTTCTTTCCTGAGGTCCTTCCTAACAGGAACTGGGGAGGCGTCAGTTTCTCTCCAGGAGGGTGGCTTCAGTTCCTTCCCCAGGCCGGGCCACCGCCTGCGTCATCTTCCCCTGGGTCCAGGGAGCCGGCACTGACCCTTCCGGGTGGAGAACACACTCATGGGCCTCTGAGCGTCGCCAGCCCCTGGTCATGGGATGAGGTCGGTGGTGTCTACCTCTCCCTCCCTCCCCCACGGTGTCTCCTTGAGGAAAAGACAGAGTCTCGCTCTGTGCCCTGGGCCCTGGCCGGCAGGTGCTGTGGGACAGCCCAGGGAATGGCCAAGTCCTCCTGCAAACGAGGGTCGGTGC